ATTTTTCAAACGCAAAAGATAAAATCTACACTCTTCCCCCGAAGAACGCGAACTCAGTCTACACGAATTCCATTTACGTTGGTCTCGAATGATTTCGTTTACGGGAGGGTATCGAGGGGATTTGACCTAATAGGGACCAACATGGAATATCTCGCGATCCTGGACATATAGAAGGTTACTGTTACTAATAGTGGATCAAGACCTAAAGGTTGATGGACAGAAGTTCGGGATTTTGTCACTTCGCGACGCTCGTGTGCATGAATTAATAATGCCCTTGTTTTTGTGATATCTTGAAATCTTTGGCATCTACGAAGTTGCTTTTTTCGGCGAAGTTGTTCAGTGGATCAAGACCTTATCGTCGGCAGCTGCCATATTTGATTTCAATATACATATACAATATACATATTGAAGGGTATTTGGCAGTATTTCCCTCTTTTTTGATATTGGCAGCTGCCATATTAGCTTTCAAGATGGCGCTGGGTATCGATTTTTGGTCTCTTGGCGTCATCCCGATTCCGAAAATATCCTTGTTGAAGTGTATTTAGCAGTATTTCCCACTTTTTCTGGAACCGGAAGCCACCATATTGGATTTAAAAATGGCGCTGGATAACGATTTTCGGTCTCTAGACGTTATCCTGATTCCGAAAATATACATGTTGAGGGATATTTGGGAGTATTTCCCACTTGTTCTGAAATCGGCAGCCGCCATCTTTGATTTCAAGATAGCGTAGGACATCGATTTTCGGTCTCTAGACATCATCCCGATTCTGAAAATATCCATACTGAAGGGTATTTGGCAGTATTACCCACTTTTGACGTAGGACTACGTCTTTGATTTTTATATGGGGGTACACTTTGTGAAAACCGAAAATGGAACATGTAACAAATTAAGAAAGATTTTGAACGTTAATAACTCAGCTGCCCCTGGTCCAATTTCAATAATTTCATCACCAATCGATCAGAAATATGGCAACGCATCGATAACAATGCTTTCGAATGTTGATTTTCAACAAGAAACTATTGAAAACTGGTAAATGTCCAGCATTGTCCAAAAGCGTCGAATTAACTAACAAATCCACCAATTACCTTCACTCTGCTTGGTTTCGGAGGTTAAATCATCACCAACTTTGGCAACAACAAGGCTCTTTTCAGGGCCACCAAGCTTATTACAGTAAAGAGAAGGAATAGAATTCATCTGCCTGTTTGTCCATATTCAGAACCAACGACCACACAAAATGCTCATGTAATCAAACTGGAAGCAGGGGTACAAATTATTTTGATCAACCTTGATCAACTTTGAATCGCCACGGCCGGATATTTTCGATGGAAGAAGCAACAATCTAGCATCTAATTCGACGAAGACGGCAGGAAACATTTGTGAAGCCGAGTTATTTACGAAAGAGAGTGTCGATGAAGAGAATCTATCAATGTAGATAGGACCTATTGAAAAGCGACGCGAGACTTGTTTTTCGTACTGAGATTGGACCCAGGCCTGCTGGGTTGAGAGGTAATCACGCTAACCACCGGCGCCGATATCTTTCAAGATGATTTCACGGCGAATGAGATCGACCCAAATTTGAGTTTAGTTATCTCAGAAATAAGAAATAAAGTGCAGGAACTCAGCGATGAGTAAACTTGCCTCATGTTTTCCCAGGTTTTTCCTGGATTTTCCAGGGAAAAATTCCAGAAATTGAGAAAAGTAAAGATTGGATTCACTCAGTCTATTGGTACTACTTCGAGACTGAATAAAATTTTCGTCAATTTCCTCATTTTCTGGCAGATTTTTTAGGTTTTCCACAGGAAACCATGAAACAAATTTACTCATCGCTGAGTTCCTGCACTTTTGGCGATTATGAGTGAACTAAACTCAAATTTGGGTCGTTCTCATTCGCCGTGTACGCAAAAGGAAAAGAGCCAGTGTCGCTACTTGATAGCAAACTACTCATAATGGGAGGAGTCTTTGTAGCTTTTATACTACTTGGTTGCACATCATTCTGCTTTAACCTGAAAAGATATAAAAGAGCGCTGCTGTATGGCATTAGCTCATTTTCGCTTTGGACGGCGTGGTGAACAGCAATAGCAGCAGTAGGAAGGTGGTGGCTAGTCCACTCCTTCACACCTAACAAGCAACAATTGACTGGTCGTGGCAAAGGAGGAAAAGGTCTGGTATAGGAGGCGTCAAGCGTCATCGCAAAGTTCTTCGAGATAACCGCCATCGGTCGTCTGGCTCGCTGTGGTGGTGTCAAACGTATCTCCAGTCTGATCTACGAGGCAGGGTGGCCAGATTATTTTTTCATTATCGGTGGCTTCTCAAAACTTTTATCGGTAGTTATCGGTAGGCCGTCTGAAGAAGGCTTTCCTGATACTTGAAACCTTTGTGAGTGGGGGGGACTGTCCTTCAGTTCTTCTGCTTTAAACGTGTCGAAATCAATATTTCTAATTCTAATGCACACATACGTATTGAACATTTTTCAAGATTACTAAAAATCTGTGATTCTCGTAGGAAAAGCGAAAAATCGGTAGTTTTTAACCTTTTGTCTGTGAATCGGTAGGCATCCCGAAAATCGGTAGGACTACCGATAAATCGGTAGGTCTGGCCATCCTGCTACGAGGTGTGCTGAAGGTGTTCCTGGAACATGATGTCCGTGATGCTGTCACCTACACTAAACACGCCAAGCGGAAGTGGCCATTTCAGGGCCATCAAGTTTACATCAGTAAAGAGTTGGAATAGAATTTATCTGTGCTAGTTTGTGCACAAGTCCCCAACGACCACACAAAATGCTCTCCAGAGTTGTAATCTTGTAACCAAACTTGGAAGCAGGGGAGCAAAAACGGAAAGAGTTGAGATAATAGATAATTGATCAATTAAAAGAACTAAATGCTCTTCACATTTATTCCGGCCACTAGCGGTCCTACGTCAAGCTTCCGTTCGTGACCCTAGGCACAGACCCTTTTACTTTTTCTGAAATCGGCAGCCGTCATCTTTGATTTCAAGATAGCGCTGGACATCGATTTTCGGTCTCTAGACGTCATCCCGATTCTGAAAATATCTATAAGGGATGGTCCATTAATTATGTCACGCAAATTTGGCCCATTTTCAAACCCCCCTCTCCCCTTTGTCACATTTTTTGTATTGACCTTAATTTTTTTTTTTTTGTATGGCTCGTCACAGTTTTCAAAACCCCCCTCCCCCTAAATGTGTGACATAATTAATGGACGACCCCTAAAGAAGGGTATTTGGCAGTATTTCCAACTTTTTCAGATATTAAAATCAGCCATCTTGGATTCCAAAATGACGTCGGAAATCGATTTACGGGTTTCAGGCGTCATCCCGGTTCCGGAAATACTCATACTTAAGGGTATTTAGCAGTATTTCACACTTTTTTTTAAATTGGTAGCCGTCATCTGGCGCTGGACATCGATTTGCGGTCTCTAGACGTCATCTCGATTCCAAAAATATACATATTGATGGGTATTTGGCAGTATTTCCCACTTTTTTCTGAAACTGGAAGCCGCCATTTTGGATTTGAAAGTGGCATCAGAAATCGATTTACGGGTTTTAGACGTCATCCTGATTCTGAAAATATCCAAATTCCATCCATATTGGTTTTGATCCAGTAAACAACTTCGCCAAAGAAAGCAACTTCCTAGATGGCAATGATTTCAAGATATCACACAAACAAGGATATCACAAATTTCATGCACTAGCACTGAGTAGTGAGAAAATTCCGATCTTCTGTCCATCAACCTTTAGGTCTTGATCCACTGAACAACTTCGTCGAAAAAAGCAACTTCCTAGATGACAAGGATTTCAAGATATCACAAAAACAAGGGCATCATTAATTCATGCATACTAGCGCCGCGTAGTGAGAAAATTCCAAACTTCTTTCCATCAACCTTTAAGTCTTGATCCACTGAACATTTTTGCCAAAGACAGTAACCTTCTATATGTCCAGGATCGGGAGATATTCTATGTTGGTCCCTTTTAGGTCAAATCCCATATGCTACGTGTACTCCATTTACTCCATCCATAATCACATCAACGTCTGTCATAAGTTTGTTACAACTAGACGAATTTTTGTTATGATTTTTGTTATTTTAACAGCTAACCAGCCAATGTTTGTAGCACGTTCTGTTACATTTTTTTTAAATGAATAGCTCCAGTTGTTATAAGTTTGTTATGCCCTTCTGATCGGAGAGAGGAGACACCCCTCACCATCCCTCCACAACGGGGGAGTTTGATAAAGGAGATGATCAACCCGATTCGTGACTTCCTCAAAATTGACCTTTGCTCGCTTTCTTCACTATATAAACAATTTTCATACGGCCGTACTCTAATGGAACTATCAACTCTATACTTTCATCTTCTGACCACTTTAAGTCTGATATTAGACTTTAAGCATCTCAAACTAAATGGAGTTCATTCCACGACAAGCAGCAACAGCAAAGGAGAACCTACCGCCTGTGTCAACTGATGCGGTTATTGACTCTTTAACAAATTTATGGTGGTCCTGAAAAGAACCGTTCTGTCGTGATGGTAATGGGTGTTCAACACGGATGAGGCTGTTTGGAACGAGGGTGACGCGCTTGGCATAGATGTCCCACAGCGACTCACGAAGAGCTACTGATTCCGAAATTGCATCAATTCTAATTTGCAAACGGTTCGCACCAATCAACCTGAAGAGCATTTTGCAACCCAAATCATTGACCTGAAGGTTAAATTCATCTATGGCATCAACGAAAAATAGCAGTAACATTTCACTATCGTGTGCACTTGGTGGAAAATCAGCCATCCGCTATTTACTCAGTGAAAATTTGCGAAACTCAACGAATGAATCAACAATTCCACACACTCACACATACACTCGGCACACCCTGCTACCAGGATCAAAAACAACGAAAATCAAACATCCAGAGTGTGGTCAGTGATGTGAAAACGTGCAATTTTCAAAACCAACGAGATTCGAGAGGGACCTCAACACAACACGCGGAAAACTTACCTTCGGCATCACATATGCCAACCAATAGAACAGGGTCCAGATTTTGCTCAAATTCACGCCAATCATGAAATTCAAACCACCGACCGTTCCACCGCAGGTCAGCGTGACTGATTTTCCGTAGTCGCAGTCAACGTCGATGCCGTCGCCGCCACCGCCGTTGCGCGATTGCATGTCGAATAGATGAAAAATGATGCAGCATTTAGTTCGAGTGGAAAATAAACAACTCGGAGTAGTGGCTTTTTTATACACAGTTGGTGGCGGTAAACAAAACCATAAATAACAACTCGGACTGGGACATTTGTTGGACATGGCCCGTAGGTGAGGAGCATTCCGCAGCTGGTGCGGTCATTTGCTGGAATGAAAATTTATTCACCATCACCAATAGCAAATTTTCGCTGACTCGGTAGAGCTATTCTTGAAATGATGGCGGATAAATATGCCATTCTTCCATACACCCAGTCGCAATCAATTGCCTATCTGTGCTCAAGATGCCCCGATTGGTCAGTCAATTCTTCTTTGATTCGTTCACATCAAAGGTCGTGATTAATGGGCCATAGCATCCTTTCAAAAAACCCATTTCGTTTCCCATCAAGTTCACTCCTCAAACGAGGATACTCACCAATGCAGGCCAACACCGAGACCCGCCTCATCTTGATGTTCGGGATGGTATAGGAGATGCCGAACATGGACCGCATCTTTTCATCGCACAGCGCAAAGGTGGACAGGATATCGCTCATGACGATCCGGTGACGGATGGCGAAAATCAGCACAAAGATGTAGGCGAACGAGTTCGGGATGAACTGTGGGGGAAGAAAAGATGAAAACAGAAATACCATTTCAATAGATTTACAGCCGATTCAAACCCGTTTTCAGTCAATCAAATGCCGATAAAAACGAATCAACTTTTGAGCTCTCCGGATCGCAGGTAATCAAGTGAAGCATAATTAACGCGAGTTGAGTTTTTAATTAGCATTAGCATTGAATCAACGAATGCTAATGAATTGAAAAATTCCATGGCAGGGACTTCATTAGGTGAATGCAATTTTATCACTGAACAGGTGTTTGTTGTCAATATGGGGCTTTTGAAAAATGTTAATTATGGAATTGATGAGGCGTAGCATTATTGTTTCTCCGAATAACCAACGAATATTGAAACTAGATTATATCGGAGGAGTGAGGTTTTACAATAATGAACTTTATATCCAGGAAATATGCTCGTTTTTTTTTCTATCGGTGATAAACCCACTTAAACACTCATGTTGCCTGTACGTAGTCAACGAAGTAACCAAATTGCTCTAAATTAAAAGAGGGATTCTCTATTTAGCATTAAATTAACAGTACTATGATTTGAAATAACTTTCATTCTCTTTTCTATTTTCAGGTAAGCTAATTACAATGAATTTCAACCTATTTTCTTAATAGCAATGGTAAGTGTTTTTCAAAACCCCCCTCAAATCGCCATATTGCCCTTGTTACCTAGTCAATAACTAAAAGTTTTAAAACTGGATTGAACACGTCCTTCCGTCTGTGACCAATAGCCAGTAATACAAACTTTAAAACATTCCCAATCGATAGGTACTTCCTTACCAATCAGGCTAAGGCCTTTTTGTCCTCTGCTGTCCGTAGAAGTCGTCTCCACTCTACTCGATCCATGGCCACACTTCGCCAGCCTCGTAAGTCCGCGAAGGGTCCGCAGGTCACTTTCTACTTGCTCGATCCACCTTACCCGCTGCGAGCCTCTTCTTCTTGTTTCTGTTGGGTCACTTTCGAGAACCATTTTCACTGGGTCGTCGTGCGACATTCTTACTACGTGCGCAGCCCACCATAGTCGCCCAATTTTTGCAATGTGAACGATGGATGGTTCTCCCAGCAGCTGGTGCAATTCGTGGTTCATTTGGCTACTCCACGTTCCGTCATCCATCTGCACTCCACCTTAGATGGTACGCAACACCTTCCGTTCGAAAACACCAAGGGTGCGTCCTCCACGAGCATAGCCCAGGTCTCGTGGCCGTAGAGGACCACCGGTCTAATCAGCGTCTTGAAAATAGTCAACTTCGTGTGGCGCCGAATTTTATTCGATCGAAGCGTCCTCTGGAATCCAAAGCAGGTACGATTCCCTGCCATAATGCGTCTTTGAATTTCTCTGCTGGTATCATTTTCGGAGGTCACCATTGAGCCCAAATACACGAACTCATTGGCCACCTCGATTTCGTCACCGTCAATCTGAACTCGGGGTAGGAGGCTAACATTGTCTTCCCTAGAACCTATTCCTTTCATGTATTTTGTCTTCGATGCTTTGATGGCAAGTCCAATCCGCCTAGCTTCAGCCTTCAGTCTGATGTAAGTTTCCGCCATCGTCTCAAAGTTCCGTGCCATGATGTCGATGTCATCGGCGAAGCCAAGAAGCTGGATGGACTTCCTGAAGATCATGCCACTCGTGTCTATCCCAGCTCTTCTGATCACACCTTCTAACGCGATGTTTAATAGCAGACACGAAAGTTCATCACCTTGCCGTAACCTCCTTCGAGATTCACAGGGACTCGAGAGTGTTCCCGATACTCGAACAACGCACATCACTCGATCCATCGTCGCCTTGGCCAATCGCGTCAGTTTATCCGGAAATCCGTACTCGTGCATAATCTGCCATAACTGATTTCGATCGATTGTGTCGTATGCAGATTTGAAATCGATGAACAAATGATGTGTGGGCACGTTGTATTCGCGGCATTTCTGCAGAACCTGCCAAATCGCGAAAATTTGGTCCGTGGTAGCGCGGGCACCCATGAATCCCACCTGGTATTGCCCCACAAACTCTCGTGCAAATGGTAACAGACGGCGACATAGAATTTTGGAGAGTACCTCGTAGGCGGCGCTCAGCAGTGTGATCGCGCGGTAGTCGCAGCAATCCAACTTGTCGCCCTTATTGTAGATTGGGTAATATCTCCTTCTCTTTAATCTTGGCAATTGGGTTGTTTAGGGGATCTGCATTAAAAACGAAACCGAAATCCAAAATTTCATGATTTTTAGATACTGGAACTGTATTAAATAGGTACTATTTCATTTGCAAAAACCACCATCTTAGCGCCCCTTGGTAGGACTTTGTATCAGATGATGTATACAAATCGGTATATTTTTCGAAGTTAAACAACCCAATTACCCAAAGTAGCACTCTAGCTAGTGCTTTACCACCGTATTTTAATAGCTCACTTGGTAGCTGATCTACACTAGTTGCTTTGTTGTTCTTCAGCCGACCGATCTCCTCCTCAACTTCTTGAAGATCAGGGGCCGGTAGCCTGTCGTCTTCTGCGCGTGCTCCAAGGTCTGTTGCCGTGCCACCTTCGTTTTCTGCTGCTTCACCGTTGAGGTGCTCGTCATAGTACTGCTTCCACCTTTCAATCACCTCACACTCGTTCGTGAGGAGGTTACCGCCCAAGTAGCAATTGGGGTTTTATGAGGGTTCTGCAGACTATAATTTAGACTTGTAGCATGCTTTAAAACCGTGATAAAACATGCAATGTTACTTGGGCGTAGCCTTTGCGTGAACTATTTAGATTCTTGTAGAACTTCCGTATGTCTGGGGGAGGTAGCTCATCGATTCTTCCGGTTCGCCTCCTAGCATCGTGCTATAAGGTACCAGGCGATAACCAGGGTAGTTGATCGATAGCTCGATGACGTCATTTCGCTGGCGTCTGCAATGTGAAATTCTCATAGCAGGCGTTGACGATGGGACGTTGTCGAGTTGTTGAATAGCAACTATCGTGGTAACTCACCGATTACCTGTCGATCCGCCAAATTTGGAAAGACGTCTGCATTGAATTATCTCATATAATAATATTCCGCCCACTATATCACAAGAAATTGCGAGTAGCTGAGTGGAATGGAGATAAGTTAAGCATTGGGTACAGGACCAAGTCTCCCCTGGGTGGTGCCAAAAGATGAGCGCAATACAATCATCAAGTTGCCATAAGGCACGGAATGAGACTATTGCATGGCTGGGTAGTCAAAGTCTTCCATTCGTTAGTCATTTCAGGTGGATTAGAACAGGTTTAGGTTTAGGGTGGGCGTTGGCCAGATTTGGATAGGATAGGATAATCCTAAATAGGACCTAGATTATTTAATACACTAGTAACCTCAACTTCTGTCACAATGTTTCATTGTGACTAATCAACACGCAATGGGTAAAATATAAAATTTGCGGTAAATTTGAAAAAAAGGAACTTGGAGTGTAGAGCGCACTGCCCACTGGACGATTCTGAAGCCTCACCAAGTGAGTGGGTTACGGGTTTATTTGATTGTACGTCATTTCCAAGTTATATATAGATACATTCATACCATTGGCATTTTGTATTTGAGATAAGACAGAGACAGATCGTTATTACATTTTTTTTTTTTTGCTGTGCACTACACCACCGGAGCCAGCAAAGTTCAACAATCCATCGTTGCTTATGCCTTTGTTGTCGTTTGGAACCAGTTTTGCGAGGTAGGCGACGATTGTGCGTATTTCTCGCGTAACTTTTGAAAAGGGCCTATTTATAGCCTGAACAATACGTAAAGAGCAAATTGAAACATTGAACGTCGCGTGAAAGTGGAACTTAATGAAGGCCTAAGTACTTTTTCGTAGTTTTTAGTTTTCGGATTTGAAAGATCGTTGGTTACAGTGGCCTGCTTACTGAGCAGAAAAACGCGGTCCCTGGTCAGATTTATGGTAAAATCGCTTGTGTCTCGTGTATTTTGCGAAACTCGTTGTTGTCGTTGGTTCCGGATTTGAATGGATACACAAATTTGAGCAACGGTATTATGTGATATGAGGGGCTCGGTGGCCTTAGAGCAACCGTTTTTGCTTACTGAGCAGAACATCATGAGTCTAATCTCAGGCCCATCCACATTCAAGATTCGTCAATCGTTTTATTTGTTAATATGACTAAATGGTAATAACAGCAACTCGGTGATTAAAAAGGTGCTCGTCTGCCTAGTGGCAAACGTTTTTGCTTACTGAGGAGAAGACCGTGGGTTTAGTCCCAAGCTCCTTCGCGTTATATGATCGTTAGGACATCAATTCAGCTTATCGTTTACCAAAACGAACCCTGCTGCAAACCCAACCCTCTTATCCAACATCCCAGTGATTCCTCGTGGAAGTGCAGAGGTGTTCTCGGCTTCCATCAAAGCGAGTGTCATGTCAACACAATCCTTCCCATTCCTTTCTTGACCTGTGTTCGGGCGCGGCCGGCGCTGGTATTGCCTAATTTAAGATCACCAGTTTTTACACATTGAGGATGATTGCTAGTCCCAAGCATCGTCTATTGGTTCTCTGTGTAATTACAGCTGATCTGGCAGTAACAGAGTAGCAACCGTGGGCGGTCAATCAAGCTCAAGCAAGCTCAAGCTCAAGCTCAAGCTCAAGCTCAAGCTCAAGCTCAAGCTCTTGTAGAACTTCCGTATGTCGTTTACGCGGTACAGATTTTCCATCGCCTCGCCATCTCGGTCTTTCTGCTGACGCTACTTCATTCGGAAAACCGAGTTTTGTCTGTTCCGCGCTTGTCTGTATCACTCCACATTCAATCTCGTGCGGTGTTGCAGCATTCTAGCCCGTGCTGCATTCTTCTCCTCTACTAACAGTTTGCATTCGCCGTCAAAACAGTCATTTTTTCGGTCCGGGATCGCAGTACCTAGTGCCGCTGTAGCACGGATGTCCCTCCAGCCATCTTCAAGAGAAGCTGCGCCAAGCTGCTCTTCCGTGGGTAGTGCAACTTCCAGCTGCTGCGTGTTGTCCTGGGCAACTCCGGCGTCTCGTAGTTGCTCA